AAGAGTTAATAAATAGCATATATATACATTTATGTATACAGTAAGATAGTACATTATACATATGTATATACATTTTTCTAGAAGAATTTGAACGGCCTACGTATAATTGTTCCGGGTCTAGATGTTTGTCCATGTGCAAGGTCTCCCGGTGTAGACTTATTGAAGCAATGGCGTAGCTTTTGACTTTTAAAAAGCGCTTTGTAAAGGCCAAATAGGTATAAAAATATTTTGACTCTGACTTTTACTGTATAAATGTAAAACATGACAACGATACAGACAAAAATACTAGTGTGGTGTAAAATATTAAAAGAGAAAAAACGAAAAGAAATTTATCTGTTAAAATCTATATTTTATACTACACATAAGCGAAATACCACTGACTGACTAACTCATCACGAGATCTCTAAAACTGTACACCCGATTGACTTGAAATTTAGTATAGTTACTCAATTCGCAATGTAGACGCTCACTAACAACGGATATTCCCAATAAACAAAACAAAAATTCTTGATATTTTATAATATCTAGGTTTTTATCGTCTATTATCGTGCGCCCAGCGAGGCGGAGTGTATCAGCTAGTACATCATATAATAAATATTCATCAAAGCAAAGATAATGATTTCTTATATTTAAGCGAACACTGAACAATGAAAGAAAATAGTCATTTACGAATTTTATCACGTTTAGTCAAGCTTTTTTTTTTAAATCGCTGTTAACACCCATGACCAAAAACAAATATCTCTATAGGTATATAAAAATCAATTGCAGTTCGTTAGTCTCGCTAAACCTCAAAAACGGCTGGACCTATTTTGATGACATTTTTTGTGTGTGTTTGAATGGGTCCCTAGATGGTTTAGATTCACATATGGACCCGGTAGCTGGCGCTGTTGTCGAGATCTAGAAATCACCCGTGTGAAACCATACCGGATCGTTAGTCACAAATAAGAGGATACCAGACGAATTCTTTCGCCGTTTTATCTTTGGTCAAAAGAACCTTATTTTGAAATGGTAAAAGACTATGGCTGATTTTAAGAGATAACAAATTAATTTTTTAAATTTATTTTGACAACAAGCAGTCACAACAACAACTCACAAAAAATCCACACAATTTATTTAATAGAAATAGACCTACAGACCAACAAGTTAACAAAATTTAAAAGAATAAATATATAAAATAACAAACAGACCAAGTAAAGAATCATTAACAGAAAAAAAGAATATCCTGCATAATAAATAATCCAATACCAAATAAAATACATAATCCATAATTACCGTACCATTTTTATAGATGTGTTAAATAATGTCACGTTACATTAGTAAATCGCTAATATTTTTATGTATAATCGTATACCTTTTATGTATGTCATGTCATGTTTTTTTTTAATTTGCTTTTTAAAGGAACATACAGTATATTAACAAATACATTTTAAAACATATAAAAGAAATCCTAAAGCCAATGAAGTTTCCACAGATATCTATTGTATATAAATTTAAAATATAAAAGAAGAAAAATAACTGAATGGTATTTATAATTAGACATTATTGAGTGCTTATGCATCTAAAAGTAATATACATACAACCTATAGCGAAACTGTCAATTGCGAATTAAGTTTCATAATATTTTTTGTAACTATAGTATAAGTAGCGGCACGAAAGTCTAGCGGTGACCGTTATTGCGCATTAGTCGCGCTGATTGCCTCTTGCGTATCGTTTGCACGCGCTGATTGACTCTCTAGTCTCATTCGTGTAATTCAATTCGTGCGCGTCTCCTCCACATTTCGTTCAGAGCTAGACTTACGTGCCCCGGCTTGTACGTGAGGGTAATATGGTCATCCGTTTAATATGGTCACTTTCTTATAACTCAAAAACTACAGCCTAGTTTGCATAGATGGCTCTGTCATACGATAGCTCTTCATCAGTCAATCAAATAATAAAGGGTCAAAAGCGCGCTGCTTTATCGACGCCATTTTGACAGTTGACGTTATAGTAAATATTTTAGTCAATTTGAGTATTTTGCAGTGTATTTAGTTTTTTAATTCAATTTTTCGAATTGTTCCTAATGATTGCCACTCCAGCTTGTCTGCTATTTTTTCTCAATTAGTTATAGTATAAGACTTTGTGTTTTTGTCTCTGTCTTCCTCCTAGTTTAGGTTTTATAGGGCGACAAAGCTTAAGGTGACCATATTACCCTCACGTAGCTTATTATATTTAAGGTGAAAGATATCTAATTCAAAATATTTTAAGTTAAATTTTTTTACATGTACGAGATACAAAATTGTTTAAATTTGAAACCATTCGGGATCAAATTCCGCCGTTAGAGCATATGAATTTCTCTCTCACGGCAGGATATCGCTGAAAATCTTCAGCAAATCTTAATCAACTGTCTTAAAAAATCAAATGTAATCTTCGGTATAAACTTATTAAAATTTAAAGTACTTTACTACTGCACGTTTATGAATAAAAACTCCCGAATGACTTGAGTTGAATTGAGTCACTTAGAATTAAAATATTTTGATTGATATTTAAAGTCAGCTACAATGCTTTGGAGAGGCATCGTGAACTTTGCTCTACCCTTTTCAAAAAAGAGAGAAACTGCAATCTCTGCAGCGAAACATTTTGGGCTGTTGCTGTAACTGTAACATGAACAGGTATACTTTTTTTATAGGCATTCTACTTTGGTTCTGTAGTGAAAAGCTAGTATACAACGAGGATTGATAAAGGCTGTTAATAGACTACCGCTTCTCATTAGGTAGGTCGTAGTAGGCTGTATGAGCGTTTGACATATTTCTAAAATATAAAAGAAGCAAATTCATAACCACCAGACTAGTCATGGGTTACTCATCTATTCCATTTGAGGATGAGAGAGTACCATTTTAGCTCACGAGATACTCATGAGGTATCCCTCATTTGAGGTGAGGACTCTTTCGCCGGCGTATTTATCTGACAACGCGAGTCGCCTCCTTCCAAAAGTTTGTTGAAAGCAAGACATGTTGATACCATAGTCATTATATTATTATATTATGTCTGTGGTTGTTACAATATGCGATGTCAGTGGATGCAAATAAAGTGTAGTGGCGGTGTAAGAATATCCACTACCCCATATCGTCCCGTGGGTGTTGTAAAACGCCAAAGAATAATTAGACTTAGAGTGATAGTGTCATTTAAAATTCCATTCAAAATTGAGGCAACAACACAATAATTGTGTGCATAAGTGCCAGTAATTACGTTTGCCCACACGCACACAAGCAAATGAGTAATGTCTGCAAGTAAATGGCGTTTTCCCCAAAAAGAGGGGAAAGAGTAATAGTAGACATAGTCTTGGAGTTAATAATATTAGGTTGAAAATGTTACATTATTTATTTTTGTTAACTAATGCGATATTTAAATTATTTATATACGTAATATCTTGTGTTTTAATATATATTCACAAATCTATTATGTAATTACATTATTCTATCCGCGAAATATTATCTTTTTTGGTTTCATAAAAGAATCTAACTCTTAGACAATGTTCCACAATAGGCCGCGCCAGATTTGTGTTGTAATGTGGTGAATTGATGTCCTCTTCTACTATAAGAAATAGAGAACGAACAATGACTTTGGCCATAGTTTTTAGAGATAGCTCTTTTACTATGAATTGGGACTATTGGCAGTATGTATGTACTTTATTCAGTATGCATTTTTTCTTATAATTATAGTAATAAGAAAAAATGGTGTAAGTTATTTTGCCACTTTAGCAACATTTTCATTATATTAGCGTCTGTCAAATTTACGATTTATTATTTTGTTTTGATGAATATTTTTTTACAAAAATATACTCGTAAGATGCTAGGCAGTACTTTACCCCTGAAATGAGATTTTTTTAATGATTATGTGATGAGTTGTGACACCTTTTCAAGCATAGTATATCATTTTTTGCAAAATTACGTGAGCTCTTTACACGATTACGTGGACTCGAGTACTGACGCGCAGAAAGTCGTACAAGGCTTGAAATAGCTTCACTTTGCGTGTGCTTTCTGCGGTTCTAAGCCTAATAGTTCTATGTAGGCGACAGACGGAAACAGATCAGAACATGTGCAGGAGCGTCTCTCTAACAATGACTAAAAATAAAAAAACGACGGTTGCCAACCCGCTTACCAAGCATGGCAACTATGGCCTATGAGCCTATGCTTATACTTTAATAGGCTGTAACTGTAACGGTATTCACTCATTTAGATATTGCAGCTAAATACATAATCTCGATACCTACTTGAACTTAATTGAGTCGTTCGCTCACTCACTCGCGGCACACACAATACGTATTGTCAGTTATAAGCGAGGTTGTAAACAAGTGGGTGAGGTGTAGTGTAATGAAAGAATTCGAATAATTCTTTCAATATGCCGTCACGAGGACCTCTAGTGTTAACTTATGAAACACAATAAACATCATATAGAACGCAGAAGGTCATTGTAAAATTTATTTCCTATCAATCACTCTTCTATTAACTTTTATATGTTCTTTGAGATAAAATTATATAAAACAACGAATTAATAATAATTAAGTTTAAAAGAAATTACAAATTTAGATCAAAAGTTATTTTTTACATTATCATTTAATTTCAATTCTCCTAGGTTTGACTGGAAGAGAAATGTCATATAGATTATGTCCGCCCTATGTAGACTACAAACTAATTGATTATACGTAATCTTATTGACAGTAATTTTATACTTTTACCACTGGTTCACAGAGAAACCTTAAAATCTTCATCTCCTCGTTTAAAATCTTCATCGCTTATTTTTCCACCATTAGAGATGCAACTTTTTTTGGAATATATTTGGGACCGGTACCGGAGGTATAACCCATTTGATTTTAAATAATCATCTAAATCAGTTTAACCGTTCCCGAGAAATCGGTGTATATACATAAAAAACCATACGCGTCGATTGTACAACCATCTCGTTTCTATGACTTCGGTTAAAAAAGAGAGAGAAATGGAATAGAAGATAAAATAATGATATACCCGTTTCGCATCATTTCCAAGGTGGTTGCTGCGCAAATCTATTGTATGAAAGCCATCGTCAACTGCGTCGAAGGCCTTGTTCACGCAGCCACCCTCCTCTACCGCCATCACTTATCACTGCAAATTAAAAAAAATATACATGATTTAGTACTTTAGTAGCCGTGTAGTAAAATTAGCACGTGGTAGAGTCAAGTCAATGAGTCGGCTCGACTGGGGTCTACGCTGGTGACCACACTCACAGAATACTAGCGTAAAATAGCAGCTTAATGCTGCTGTGTTTCGTATGGTGGGTGTAGAGAACCGCAGACCCTTATACAGGAAACGAGGCATTCCATCTCAGTCCTCAGGGGTGACAACGCATCTGCATTTTGATTCTTGATTGAGGATAAATGTATATGTCTATGGGCCACAGCATCCACTTATCATAAGATGGCTGTGTACTCGTTTGTCACTATAATCCTATAAAAAAAACCAGTGGCTTAGCAATGAGTTGCAGCGCTACGTTCTGCGGGTTCGAATGCCACACGGAACACGTATTTGTATGGTCTGCAAATAACTGTTCCGAATTTGGATATGTGTTCTTGTGAAATTTATGTATACAAATTGCCCTTGCGATACAGGAAAAATACTAGCGTGGAGGTAACGTATGTTTAAAAATATAAGGTAAGATACGATGACGACCTATAATGACGGTTTGACGAAGTATATACTGCGCACCGCGGCCGTACGTACGAAACGTCATAATTATCTACTATACACCTATTATCACGCGCCGAATGGGGTCTAACAATCTTCGGCTCACCAGATGTCGCTAGTTGACAATGAGGTAAAGTTTTTTGTTACACAATCTCATTTAATTGAGAAGTTAGTTTTAAATAAAAGTTTATGATTTTCTAGGAAATAAATTAATACACAAAACAATGTCTGTGTGGTTTGCTCTTTAATTGTTTGCACATTTTTAACTCTTTTTTATTTTTATAAATATCAGTGGTTTGGTTTATTTAATTTTAATTTAATTAACATAAATTATAACTAATAGTCCCAGGCGAGGATGGAATTACAGCGGAGCTTCTGAAAGCGGGTGGAAAACCGGTACTTGAAGTCCTTCAGAAGTTCTTTAATTCCGTCCTCCATGGTGGCATTACACCGGAGGCGTGGAGCAGAAGTGCGGTGGTCTTGTTCTTCAAGAAAGGTGACAATGCTCTCTTGAAAAAGTACAGGCCAATTTTCCTTCTGAGCCGCGTCTACGTGCTGTTTTTGAGAGTCATTACGAATCGTCTCGCGCGCAGAATTGACGACTTCCAGCCTCCCGAACAAGCCGGTTTCCGAAAGGGCTTTAGCACCATAGACCACATACATACCCTTCGGTGAATTGTACAGAAGTCGGAGGAGTACAATTTGCCACTATGTCGGGCGTATGTGGACTATGAGAATGAAAAAGCCTTTTCAGAGAGAGATTCCGTCGAAATTTGGGTGGTGCTGCAGTCCCTTCAACGGTGCCAAGTTGACTGTCGGTATATCGAAGTGCTGAAGTGCTTGTACAGTAGGGCTATGATGGCTATCCGAGTACAGAACCAGAGTACGATGCAGAGAGGTGTAAGACAGGGTGACGTCATATCCCCGAAACTCTACACCGCTGCATTGGAAGACGTTTTCAAGCTTCTGGACTGGAAAGGATACGTCACTCACCTTCGATTTGCCGACGATATAGTCCTTATGACAGAATCGCTGGAGGACCTAAGCACTATGCTCAATGACCTCAATAGTGCTTCCCAACGGATAGGTCTTAAGATGAACATGGACATAACAAAGATCATGTTTAATGTCCATGTCACACCTATGCCGGTAGTTGTTGGGAGCACTAAGCTCGAAGTTGTTGATGAGTATGTTTACCTGGGACAAATAGTCCGACTAGGTAAGTCCAACTTCGACCGAGAGGTCAATCGACGGATTCAACTCGGTTGGGCAGCTTTCGGAAAATTACGGCACATCTTCTCGTCAGGTATACCTCAAAACTTGAAAACGAGACTGTACAACCAGTGCGTGTTGCCAGTGATGACATACGGAACTGAAACGTGGTCCTGCACTGCTGGCCGGATGAGGAAGCTCAAGGTCACTCAGCGAGCTATGGAGAGGGCTATGCTCGGAGTTTCTCTGCGTGATAAACTTGAAATGAGGATATCCGCAGTAGAACCAGAGTAACCGACATAGCCCAACGGATTAGTAAGATGAAGTGGCAATGGGCCGGCCATATAGCTCGAAGAACCGACAACCGATGGGGAAAAAAGGTTCTCGAGTGGCAGCCTCGTACCGGCAGGCGAAGTTTTGGGCGTCCCCCCACTAGATGGAGTGACGACCTGGTAAGATATGCAGGAAGTCGATTGATGCAGGTGGCTCAGGACCGTGCTTTGTGGCATTCCTTGGGGGAGGCCTATGTTCAGCAGTGGACTTGTGAAGGGCTGTAATGGATGGATGGATAACTAATAGTAAAACAAGAAACATTAACCTTTACATTTTACGAACAAATTAACTTCCCTTTACTATGAAATCTGTCAAGTATTAAACCTCATATATAAGTGGCGCCGCCCTGGTGGCAAAAAATCGTGGGTGGTCACCTCATTAGTGCTGGTGAAGTGCAGTTAACTGTTTGCCTGGTTCCTGTGCCAGTTGGTAACCGTTTTGCTTACTATTCTCCTTTTGTTTTGTTTTTTTAATATTATTTTCTTTACTTTCATATCTATAACAACCTGGGTACATGAAATTTGTAGAAATGTACTATCACTAAGTATAAATTAGTACAAGTGCAATAACCATGACTTTATTTGCTTTAAACAATGCATCTCTGAACTACCGCCCGGGAACCAGGTCAAACGTGAATCACAAAGATGTATACTATTTTAGATTTCTTTTCATTGTTATCACTAATCATACGTAATTATGTTACTCTTTTATATAAGTAGATAGGTAGATATATAACGATACAAATAAATAAAATTGAAGTGTCTGTTTGTAATATTGAAATAACAGCTTTTTACGATATGCATATGAAATTATATACGGTACTTATAACAAAAATACTATTTTTAAAATTTTTGTCCGTCTATCTTTCTATCTGTCTGTCTGTTTGTTCTGGCTAATCTCCGAAACGGCTGGACCGATTTTGATCGGATTTTCACAGGCAGATAGCTAGTGTTATAAGAAGTAACTTATGCTACATTTATTTTAGAATAAGAATTAGGGTTCCGCTCAAAAAACTAAAACCCATGAAATCCAATCGTAATAAATTACGCGCGGGCGAAGTCGCGGGGAACAGCTAGTATCTTTTTTTTTATAGGATAGAGTGACAAACGGGCACACAGTCCACCTGATGGTAAGTGGCTGCTGTGGCCCATAGACATCTACATCTATCCTCGTTTGCGAATCAAAATGCAGATGCGTTATCACCCGTGACGACTAAGATGGAATGCCTCTTTTCCAGTAAAAAAGGATCTCCGGCTCTCTACACTCACCATACGAAACACAGCAGCGTTATGCTGCTATTTTACGCTGGTATTCTGTGAGAGCGTGGTTCTTCCCCGTCGTGCCGACCCATTCATGCTACACCATAATATAACTGCAGCGTTTCTCTACTACATATATTCTATAGGTAGGAACAGTAAACGGGAAGCAGCATCTTCCTGATAACAACTCAAAGTAATAAAAAAATTACGGTTTCTAATTCGCCTGGCAAGCATGGCAACTATGGCAAACAAATAAGTCACGTATCAGCTAACTAATCTATGGGGAAGCTAAGTCCACAGAGGTGACAATTTATTTTTTGATAAGAATAAAGGTAACAAGTCGGCATACAGCCCACCTGATGATAAATGGGTGCTATGGTAGACACCTACATCTATCCTCGATTAAGAATCAAAATGCAAATGCGAACTACATTGCAAATATATACTCTTTGAACTTTACTATGAATAACCTTAACCACAAAAAAACGGAATTTCAATCAATAAAGCAAGATTTAAGATATAATAAAAATAATGTCGAAAACTTAAAGACAGAATTAAGAAAAAATCCCTTATTTCTAAATTGTTTAAGGTAAATGAAAACATTAAAGATCTATGTTACCTACTTTTTATGGATTGATGTAAGTTCACTGAAATTTCTTATGGCTTTGTAATATAAATAGTATTAATGAAAAGTACATTTTTCAAAACATTAATGTAATGTATGCATAGTGCACGGATGACATGCATTTATTCATGGCGGACGAGGCGAGTTCAGGGTGAGAAGCAATTTGTGACGACCTTTGTCCACAGTTTGTTCAGGAAAACCATTCACCAGTTATAAAAAAGGACATGTAAGCGCTAGATACAACAAGCTCCCGGGTTAACACAACAAACGAAGTTATCTTATTAATTATATATACTCATCTACTAACTGACGTCGTTATATCTGTGAAAGTCAGTAACAATCCAATGCTAGACAAAGGTATGTAATAAATTAAGAGAAATTACTGTAAGCACTATCCTGGACAAGCCCTCCAGGCTGAATTTCAGTCACGACGGCCAGTCTCAACAGAGTCTAGCCATCGGCGCAGGACAGGATTATAGTGCGCAAGTGTATAAGCAAGCACAGGTGCACACTCTCTATTCCTTCTCTCTCCGTCCGATAGGACTGCGATCTGACACTACCGGAGAGAGATCAGACGCAGGACCTGCGTCTATACGTGTTTTTCGAGGCACCGAGTTGAACCAACGCTAACTTCCTGGCTTCGGCCTGTTACTAAGAATTTCTGGTCAGAAAAACACAATAACTGATTTCGGCTCGACCCTGAATTAAAACTCAGGACCTCACGATTATCAACCGCATTTACGACCACAAGACTACTGGAGCAGCGTGGACAAGCAGATAGTCTTCGATTCTAGCTAGATTCGATAGTCAGTAAACGACGTACCTGGATAGAAAACCGCCTTTACTTAATACTTTTTAAACGATTTCAAAAAGGAATAAGTTCTCAATATGATTTTTTTGCATTTTCTTTATTATTTTTATTTGTTTCTACGATACGTGACATATTTGGCAATTGTGAACTAATTTCAAATATTCTTTATTAT